GCTGCTGCTTGTTTGAGAGATTTTAGGAAAGTCCTAAGCATGAGGCTCGAGAGGCCACTTGCACAGAAAAGCCCCTGGAAATGGCCTGGATGAGCTGCAGGTGGGGAGGGGCGGGGCCTCCGGGAATCACGGGGCGGGGCCAAAGCTGTGAGTCAGGTGCTGGAGATTCAAATATGGCGCCTGCCTGCTGGCCGTGTGCGGGGGGAACTCCCCAAAGGAGCCATGGCCTCTGCCAGCCCTTCTGCCTGGGAGGAAGCCACCCCTCCAGCTCTCACCCGGATCTCAGGCAGGTTAGTTCCTCCCCGAGTGTCCCGGGTCCTTTCAGGCTGCTGCCCGGCGCTGGGCTCAGAGGGAGCGTCCGAGTGAGTCCGTGCCGGGCCCTTTAGGAGGAGCTGCTGGGGCTCCCGCAGCCTCCGCAACCCTCAGCGACAGTCCCCGCTGGTTTCACAGCCCGAAGGTGTGGGGACGTCTCTTCCTGGCCTGGAGCCCTGGGCTGGGGGCCTGCTGTGGGGCTGAGACCCCTCCCTCCTCCGGGAAACCTCAGCCGCCGAGTTTCCCTCCCCGGTTTCAACCGCGGCACCGGGGGTGGGCCCGCGGCCGTCTCTGTGATTCAGCCCCGATCCGCCCGCGTCTGCGCCCCTCCTCCCGGTCTCGGTGCTTCTTCAGGTCCCTGGTTGTGGGGCTTCTGTTCAGCCCGATCTCAGGAGGCTCAGAGTGATGGTGGTTCTGTGTTTTAGTTGTAATTTTGATGTGGTTGCGGGAGGCAGAGGGTGCAGCTGTTACCTACGCCGCCATCTTGTTGTTCCTCAAGATTAAGAAAATCTTGATAAATTTTGTTGTTTTGGAATTTTGAAGTCTTTGGAATAGTGGAATGAAGATTTGCTTCCTGTATTGGTCAACTGACTCAGGAGGCATGTGCTCAGTTTTACTGTTTAGAAGAGAAAAACCGTGGTGGTCATTGGCTTTGGATGCAGTGAGCTTCCGGAAAACACCTAATATCCCAGGGACTTTGTCAGCTGCAGCACTTGCTGTTGTATTTGAACTGCATTCTAGGAATGCTTGGAGCAGCCTCACTAGAGCAGGGATATTTCCTGTTCTTTCCCAAAGCATTGGCTGAGGGAGCTGAGGAAATAAGGCCATATAGGAAGATAGAATATCATTTTTGTGTGTTTCCAGAAGCAAAGATATCACTGGAAAGACACATGGAATAAACTCTTGTACTTAATTCTGTAAAATTTTAGTAAACACCAGAAACAAAGCCCCTTCAAAATTTACAACAGCGGCAGTGTTGGCTTTGCATGTTATTTTTATGGATAAACATATTACTTCAAGCATGCAGTGATCAAAGTGAGGTTTGCTTGGGTCCTCACCAACGGCTAATAGCTTCTGAGTAAGCTGAGTGATGAGTGTGGGGATGTAAGGGTTATGGCTGCTGCTTCATAATGTATTCATTTTCTGAAGAGCCAGGAAGTGTGAGAGCTTTGAAAAGGTTCGTTAGCAGAATCTCAACAAACAGTGCTAATTCTGCAGCTGTAAAGAGAGTGGCGTGGTTAGGCCCCGTGTTGTGAGCGGCCTCTCAGGGGCATGTGCTGTGTGAGTATGAACAGCAGTACTTTCAGCCTGAAGATGATTAACCAAGAGAGGACCAGATACTAAAAGCTGTTCCTTTGGTGCTTGATTCCTAAAGCTCACGATATATTTGATACCGTCAGCTTTCAGGGCGGGAGATTCATTCACGTTAGCTGATTTTAAATCAGGCAGGATGTGATTCACAGAGAACTCGCTTGGGTTTGCAAGTCCATTTGCTTATGATTCCAGGCTACTGTGTTTGAGCTTTTGATGCCAAAGATGTCACTAAGTAAATGGCTGCATTTTTGTGTTTCCAGTTGACAGATGGATTTTTTGCCTATTCCTGCAGCACAGAATTAACATAACCAGAGAAGATTCCTGTCACAGGTCCCTCAAAAAACTTGCATACTCTTCATGCTAGATCACAAGCAGCCCTGTGTCTAGTTTCAGTATCCGATCCCTGCAAATTTCCTTTTATGTGCTCCTCAGAATTACCTTCAGAGGTTTCTCCAGCAGCAGCTCCGAATCCCAGGTTAGGCACAATAACCATTTCACAGGCTCTTGTCAGCGTGCCCTGGTCCTCACACAGATTCTTAGAGAGAATCTCTCACAAACTGAAGTCAGAAACATACCAACAAGTCGTATTTGACCTATTGACCTGCTGTAACCAGTGCATTCCAGACAGCTGTGACCAAATGGGGCAGGGAGCACTGAAACTCTTCGCCTTACATTCCCTGTGTAATGCAAATTGTTCATCCAGGTTTCTGTATTATCTTCACAAAATTCAAGGAGATTCTGAAAGTTTAAACAAGAACAGTCTTGAGGTCAGGTTCAGGGAAGAAAAGGAAGTCCTCAGGGCAGAGGCATCATTTGCATGGGTTCTACCACATTCAGTGGTGGCTTTCAGTAGATTAGTAAAAGGCTCTGAGCACGTGGGCGCACAGGCGGGTCTGCAGGCTTGCCTTTGTGATCAGGTAGCCAGTCGGCCGCTGGCCATGCTTCAGTATTGAGCAAAGTCTCTGGCTGGGTGGGGCTAAAGACTGTGCTCTGCAGTTGGGTACCCCACTGTCTGGGCTCCCGACCTGGGTGCAGCCTCAAGCTCTGTTTTGCACTTGGGTAGGGCTATAGGCTGGGCTCTGCGGCTGCTTAGGGTCACTGTTCAGGCTCCCTAGTTATGCAGGGTCGGAGTCTGGCTCAGAAATTGGACAGGGCTTCTGGTTTGGCTCTCTGCCTGAGTGGTGCTGCAGCATGGGTTCCATGGCTGCCCAGGTCCCCTGGTCAGGCTTCTTAGATGGTTGGGACTGGAGGCTATGCTCAGCAGTGGAGCAGGGCTGCAAATTTGCTTCCCTGCCTGGGTAGGGCAATCGAATGAGCTCCACAGCTGGCTTCGCCCATCAACTGGGGATCCAAATCAGGCAGAATTGCTAGCTGAGGTCCCTGGCTGTGCAGATTGGCTGCTGCAAGCGGTAATACAATCCACCAAGATTAGAGTTTTGCAAAGTATATGATTGCCTAACCACTCTGCTGTGCACCTGAAACTAATACAGAATACTGAATATAAACTCTAATTGAAAAATAAAATTAAAGATTGCTGAAAGCCCTGCCCCATACTCCTCCGATTCCCAGCGGTCCCCATGAGGAAAGTCCCAGGCAGCCTTCCAGGAAGCACCCCACAATTCTGGGGGACCTGGATGTGCACTTTTCTCCTGCTGGAGAAACCACAGTGGGTCCAGACCCTCTCAGTGGGGCTCTGTGCTGGCCTGGGGGAGGGGTGGTGTGGTCAGTGTTCTAATGCAGTCCTCTCTGCCTCTGGCCCAGGATGGTGTTTCGGCCTCACCTGTGGGTTCTGGGATTTTCACAGTGGTGTCTTGTCTATAGACGGTCGTTTTGTGAAGGGGACTGAACTTGGGAATAACCTATGTTGCCATCTTGATGTTGTCACTGAAATCAACACTCTGGTGTTGAAAAATATCCAGCTGCATGGAGTCCACATAGAACTCCCCCAAGCTGCGGTCTCCCACCTCTCTCCATGATCAAACTCGCTGTCCCTTTCTGTTCTTCCATCTCTTCTGCGACTGCTCGTTGGGATGGCCCTTTATCCTGCTTTGATGTGGTGGAGAATATTGGGGGATGAAGCAGCGCTGGTTACAGAACCACTTACTCCCACCCCAAGCTTCCACCGGGCCCCCGATTCCTCCGCACGTCCCTCGGCCAGGTTCTGCGCCACCTTTCTTGGCTGCTTACCTGCAACGTGGGCCAGGAGAGCAGGGTCAGTGGTGGTACCTGTGTGGTGGTAAAGCCTTGAGCCGCCGTGTTACCACCTCTGGCGGTGCCCTGTGAGGAGGGCGTGCGTGTCAGTCACGCAGGGAAGTTTTGCACACACCAGCCGTTACTTTGTAATTGAAGAACACGTTTTGCTCATTTTAGGTATAATTAAAGAATCTGGTGGGAAGCACAAGGGATTGATTGAAATACCCAGCCTTGCTGAAGAAAATGAAGTAGATGACACTGAGGTGAAGTGATGGTGTTTCTTTTTTTTTCTTTCTTTTATATCAAGCTTCTGCTGTAGATGTTGAGGTTTTGAAAAACTGCTCATCAGACTGTGATTCCTGCAGTTGTGGTGACTTGTGGAGAGCTCTCGTGGTGAGGATCCCTCCCTGTGGGGCCCGCGGGGGGTGTGCGGTGGCAAGTAGGCCGGGGCAGCCCTGGGCTCCCGTGGGGCAGGCGTGGGGCCTGGGCAGGTGGCTGCATCCTTGTGGCCACCTCACCTGTGAAACTGGGTGAATGCACCTTTCAGGGGTGCTGTCAGATAGGTGTCACGGTGAACACACGGGAAGGTGCTCAGGCAGCATGCAGTTTGGTGAGTGGGATTTTGCTTTCCTCCCCTGCATCTTTGCTGTTTCCCTTTGATAGTGAAAATCCGCAGCCATTGGCTGCGATCGCCCTTGGTTATAGCGCATGTTTTTTCGTAAACTAGTTAGTATGTGTTGCTTTTGACTGGCTCTCCTAGTTCTCTTGGGGGACAGAGCCTGTGTAACGCCCAACCTTGGTTTTCAGTTAGTGCCTTCTGTAAGCTGAAGGCATGGTTCTGGGGAGCGGCCATTTGTACAGCAGCTGTATTTTCCAAACCAAATGGTTTGACAAAAGGTCTTTTTTGATTTGTGAAATTATTCATTGTGAAGGCTTTCAAAGATATAGAAACTAAATCATCCTGAGCCACACACCGATGACTTGCCTTTATTAAAGGTTATAAAATGCCAGAAAAGGGGGGCCTGTCTCGGACATATCTTCAGACATGGGCTTGCTATTCTCGGGCTGTGATTTCACTCTGCAATATTCAGGTCCATCAGCTGAGAAGTTTTTCATCAGAATAGTACACTGGTCTTTTAGATGCAATCCTTGGCAGCATTAGAGAACAAATTCTCTAGCTAGGACTCCAGCCCAACTGAATCATAGGGACACTAAATGATTTCTAACCAACACCTGTTTTCATTCTGAGAAGACCACACTGGCATCCCCAGAGCAGCATTTTGATGTTTCCCTCTCCCTGTCTCCTCCTCCTTCCCCCTCCTCTTTTCCTCCCTTCTGTCCCCTCCCTCACTCCCTCCCCTCTCCCTTTCCCAACTCTCCTGCCAAAAATGGGTACCTTGAGGCCGTTATGTGGGAACTTGTTTTTCCTAATTACACTGGCTTTGGGGTTCTAGACCAGCGCTGTTCAATAGAAATAGAATGCAAGCCACATACTGAATTTAAGATTTTTTAGTAGCCATATTAAAAAACTTAAAGAAACAGGTGAAATTACTTTTAATAAGTTTAACCCAACATGTAAAAAACACCATTTAAATGTAATTAACATCAAAATTATTAGATTGTTTTACTCTTTTTGTACTAAGTCTTCCAAGTCTGGTGTGTATTACTTTACACTTATAGCAGATCTCAAAGCAGCCCAGCCACATTTTGAGTGCTCAGGAGCCACATGCGGCCAGTGTCTACCATACTGGACAGCGCATTTCTAGACTCTGGTAAAAGCCATGGACTACATCAATGTAATACCTATGTATGAAATTTTTATGCAAATTAAGGGGCTCACATTCTAAGAAGTCCATTCAAGATTTGGCCAACCCAGTCAATGGAGCCTTGATTAAAAAACCCTTACGTCTTCTCAAGCTATAGGGAGAATTCTGTCACAACTCTCTTAATAGCCACTTCTTCCCCTTCCCTGAGTCTGAGTTCCTCTCTCATCCATATGGCCCAGTGCTGTAAGAATACATCAGACCAGAGTTTTCTTAGGTTTGTATTTTTCTGATTTGTAGGTGAATGTGAGTAAAAAGAAAGGAAATGGGGATATACTGAAGGATCTTATGAAAACTGCAGGCACCGCCAAGGTGAGGGAGGCCCTTGGAGATTACCTGAAGGCACTTAAGACCGATAAAGGAGGCATCTCTTGTGAACTCGGGGGTCCCTTTTCTGTTTACCCCAGTTAGGCTCTGCACTGTGGTCTGGCTTCGCAGGTTAGGCTGCTAAGGCTCTGGAAACAACTCTATGCTGCAGGATAAATGGCAGTGTGGATGCTGAGAGCTAGTCATGAGTAAGACTACAATTAGTGGTTATCAGTATTTTACATAGCGTGAAACATTTTACCTACAGAATTAATAGTTTTCTGGATTGATAAATTATTTCATCAGTTGTTTGTATACTTACTAACAATGTCTGTCTTCTCAGAGCGTAAGCCCCGTGAGGGCATGGAAGGTGTCTGTTTACTGCTGTTTCTCCAGCATCTAGCACAATGCCTGGTGCATAGTAGGTGCTTAATCTTTGTTGAATGAATGAATGGAGGAATGAAATTAACTGTAGGTGCCAGGTATAGTTAAGATTTACCTAGATAACCCCTACACTGTGTGGAAGTGAGGTTATTTATTGTTTCCTTCCCTAAATTAGAGAAGTTACTTGCCAGGCAAAGTGGCCAACAGGGCCTGTCTGTCTGCACGTCATACTTGGGTTCTGCTGTGTGTCTAGGAGCCAACATAGATGGGTTTGAGGTTGCCGCTTTTCCCAAGACCCACGCGTAGCTGGCCCACAGGCCTGAATACTGAGGCCAATCTTGTGAGGCGGTAGTGAAGCAATGAGAAGGTGTCTGGTTTTGACAGTAGATGAAGGCCATAAAACTATTAGTTGTATAAAACTGAGCTTTTTGGAAAAGAACATTTGAAAATCTTTGCTGTTTTATCAAGAACTGTATAAAAGGGAGGCATTTGAAAAAATAAAATAATAAAAGGCATTTGTTGCTATGTAACATGTTAGTTTTATATACAAAAACATGGAATGGTCTAGAAATTTTCAAAGTGACTTAGGCATTCTTTTTATAATCATCAGCTTTTATTTTCTTGTAATGTTGTTTTGGGTTTTCTTATTTGTGCTGAAAAGGAAAAAGTTCCTTATTAAAGGAACATTCCCATGTTTCCTTGTAGAGTTTACAATGGGAATGATTTTACCAACGAAAGCTATGGCAACCCAGGAATTGACTATTAAAAGGAAACTGAGTGAGAATACCTTGCAGGTGTGATCTCTAGTGGCGACTATGAAGGGAAGGGGAAAGGAAGTGCTCAGTGAGAATTCTTCAAAGCTCTCAACAGCCTTTTGATGATGGGACTTTGAAGCACAGTGAGGGCCAGTTAATCCACTCTTGCATCCATGCCATTTTTTTGGGGGGAGGGGGGATGACGAGACTTTAATTTTTTTATGAAAAGGAATGTATAAACGCCTTTCGTTTGAGACTGTTCTAAAGGCACTGTTCTTTGGTAGGCAACAGATGACTGTTTCCTACCCAAACCAGGTGACTTTGAGGTTCACATACCACAGTGGACCAACCTTCTCTCCACTTTCGGATTGGAAGGTTTTCAGTCCTCTTCTTGGAATCTAGTGGTGTAAATTAATACTTTGTCCTTACGTGCTGTTGGCCTTCATCTGCTTATCATTATACCCTTTGGGCCACATTTACACGCCCAAGTAGGAGTTGGGGTGTTAAGCCATAGTCCGGAAGTAGAACAGAGCTAGAGAGCTCATAGGAATAACGAGCTGTTTCCAAAGTAAAGGCCAGGACTGGTGGTGCTAAAAAGTCTTTTCATGCTATTTCCATGTTTCTGGAAGGGGTAGTATGGAATTTGGGATATTTTGGTGTTTTATTGAGACAGGGAGACTGAATTTTTAAATCTAAGCAGCTTTATCTCCGGGCATGCTAATTACCCTTTGGAACCTCTTCTCAAGATCCAGGGGCCGCTGGGTGTCCGGATTCCCACTGTGGCGCTGCACATGACAGAAATGTTTGACGAGGCTGTAGAGCAGCTGTACAGCATCTTCACCGTAGGAGGAGGACGTCCCTTCTCAAGCTAGGACTGCAAATGCTGACACTGGGAGAAAATGTCCAACTACTGGAGCTGCTTTTTGGTTTCCCTTATGTTCATATTTTTGATTGAAGGGATCTGGAATTGTGGGGATAGAAGTCTTTAGGGTAACTTCTGAAACATTTGGGGGGATATATCAGCAATTAGGGGATACATTAATTTAGTTTTCTCCCTCTACAAAGGAGAGGAAGAGAAAGCTGTAAGTAATTACAAGCTACATATTCAGGACTTAAAAACAAACAAACAAAAAACCTCAAACCACCCACAGTAATTGTTCTATGCTGAAATGATGTCTGTTTTTCTTGGTTAGTTGGTGCAAAAATTTTCTAAATCACCTGCCATATTAGAAGCTGAAAAGGGAGGGAAGTTCCAAATGTTTGACGGGAATGTCACCGGTGAATATATAGAATTGGTAAGAAATCTTATGGTTAAAGTAAAGTAAGCTGGGACAGATTCTTGTTTCCATTAACATTGCTTTTTTAATTAATGCTTTTTAACTTGCTTTGGGTTCTTATCTGAGCTCAAAGAAACTTGAGAACTTTTTATAGTTGGTTGTAAAGCAAATAAAAAATGTTATATATAATGAGAAAGTTGAAGCCTTAGTTTCACAGTACTTGTGCAAATGCTTATGATTTTAGAAGTATAATTCTTCAAGCTCTTGGTGTAGAACATTCAGCTTTCTGCCACCTCAATCGCCAGGGTCTGTGTTTCCAACTGTCAGCTGCCTCACCCTTGACATCAGCTCTGCTCTGGTTGCCCATGTTACTACACTTGTGCTTGATGTTAACTGCTGTTAAGGATTTCAGCACTAGAGACAATGAATTCTCAATGGTGCTGGCATATAAAATGGAAGATGAGACTGTATGTTCATTGATTACTTTTAGTACATAGGGGTTTTTAAGAAAGGCTTTGTTTTTCTGTCTAGTACTGTAGGAAATTTAGAAAGATGCTTTCAGAACTTCCTCTTTGTTTTCAGTTAACAAATGAAAAGATCATCATGAAATGGAAATGCAGGAACTGGCCAGAAGGTATGTTATTAGTACCGTTTGTTGTAAGAGTCTAAAAACACTCAAGCTGTTTTCCCCTAGGAAAAGCAGGTGGTAGTATTTATCTGTTTCCCTTTTCATGATGGTTCCTATTTTCCTTCCAGAACACTATGCAACAGTTGTACTGAATTTTGTGCCTACTCCAGGGTTCATGGAATTACAGTTGGACTGTAAAGGAGTTCCTGTCCATAAAGAGGAGAACATGAAATTCTGTTGGCAGAAGCAGCATTTTGAAGAAATAAAAGATTTATTGCAGCTGACCACCCTAAATGGATGAATTTTAGGTTTTCTAAGGGCATCACTTTGTAAGCAGAGAAAGTTACTTCTTTCCTATAATTCCTTTTAAAAAAGAAAACAAAACTCTTTATATTGAAATCCATGAATTTTTACACAATTTGAAACATTAAAGCATTGTTTCAATCTTTACTATGAGTAAGTTAGAAGCAGCAAGCAACCTGAAGTATTTAACCTTATTTCCCATAGATGCTCCTCTGGGAATAGATTGAATCCCTTAGTACAGATAGTTGAAGTTTCCCAACTTAAAGCTCGTCCTTGTAGCAAGCTTACTTTCAGCTGTAGTTTTAGTTCAGGAAGACAAGAGTAAGTGGCATGTTGGTATCATTCCTTTATTTACTTCAGGGTTTTTAAGGTGGGTAGCTCTTAGGTTAGTGAAACAGTGGCATGTTGCACTCAGAAGCATGTTGAAGTGAGAGCAAGTTGGTTGTACTGTTAAACTTCTCCCTGCAGCACTTAAGCACTTCAGGGTGGAGAGGATTGAAAAGTCTATGGGAATAAATTACTTTCTGGACTGCCACTCACACCTCTAATGAAATAGAATATAATGGGTAAGTGCTTCCCCCTTTCACAGTTTTCTCATTACTTTCATCTGAGAAGACTGAAGCAACGTATGTAAACAAATGAAAAGTAATCACAATCAGTTTAATTAAGTGCACAGAATAGCAATCAGTCATGTCAATAAAAATAAAACAATTATTTTTACATCAAGTGTGCTTTATTTCCTCCACAGGTATTCTGTTAAATAAAGCACCATTTATATACTGCCAGGCCACAGCTAAAGAGGATTCTTTACAGAATCAAATTTTTTGTGGTTGTTCCGTATACAAGTAAACTTAATTTTGATAATAAGAACCACAGCGATCGGAGGCAACCTGCCTCTATTATAAGGTACAAAACTGGCACAGAAGACACCATATTATACACAGTAAAAATGCTGTAAGTTTAAATTACATTGTACAGGGCCAGGGAACCCTGTTCCTCCCAGACGGCCATATTAAATGAAAGCCACTACAGTGAACTCTTAATTACATAAAACATATCCATTATCTGATTGCCCTTTAGAAAGTATACTGAAGATGCAAGTTTTTTTCATCGAGTTCTGCCTGACCAAGAATTAAGCCTATAAATCTATCTTGCCATTCAAGCAGAGAGCACTGGACAAACTGAAGCACAAAAACAAATAAGCAAAACTTATACAAACAGCATTGGGGGGGTAAGGGAGCCTTAAAAGTAGACATGCTACATCTAATGTCAAGAAGCAGCTTGGTTTCCTTTGCCAGATATCCTTGTGACCACATGGATCGTAGACTCAATGGTTCTGCACAGGGTATCTAAAATGTCGTGTTGCTGCATGTGACTAAAGAGTCCTCTGGAATGGCCACAACTGAGTGATAAAGCAGCCTCAGGGTCCTGGGAGGGCAAAGCTTGACCATCACAGCTTCTCAAGTCAGCTAAGTCAGACAGAACTGCAGAGATAGAAGTAGAGGGGAACTCTGATTCTTCCTCAGTTAAGTTAGAATCCTTGGAACAGTGGAGGTCTGTGAATTCTTTACACTCTTCAAACCTACCACTGTTGGACTGTTCTTCTGCATGCTGTGACCTGATATTTGACATATCTTCTGAAAACGAAGAAGGAGCTTCCATTCGGTATTCTTTAACAGAACTATTTTCAGGGGAAGGAAGATCTTGCTCAGTTCCTGGATCAATAATTGAGGAGTCTCTTGTCTCATTGTCTGAAGTGCTAGTTGGGGTCAGGACCTCCCTGGTTTCTGTTTTCATGTCGCTGATGCAGCTGTCTACAGTGTGTTCCTCATCGCTGCTAACACGCCTTCTTTTAACAGGAGTCGCCCCTTCATCATCTGTGAAGATATCCAAACAAACTTCTGTGAAAGGAGTCACTAAGATCACACTGAGGAAGGGAGTGATTGTGGAAAATTTCCTTTACAGCATTTACATTTAGGAGGCCAAAGTGAACATAGAGCTACCACGCAGTTACACCAAGTGTATTCCCTTCTCCCACCCTAAAGGTAATACTGGTCCATAAAGCTAACCTTTAGTTTTTCTTTCTTTGGCTTCTTGCTCTTGGAGTGAATTTCTCTGCTGCAGACAAGTCCTGCATTTGCTTAAAAGCTCTTGCAGAGTTGGAATTAGAGCTGGGTTTAATTGTTTGGGAGTGTGTACCGAAAGGAGCAAAGCGAGTGCCCGTAGGTCCTACAAGAATCCAGACATGAACATTTCAACTCCTAAAGTCAACATGTGACGCACTCTGTTCACAGTTCAATGCACGTATTTACTCTCCCAGGAACCTACCCTGGCTTCCCTGGTATTTTTAGAAGAATGATGGAACTAGAAAGCCCATGCTATGATACTATATATCATCGGTTCTAAGTCACTAATACCATTATTTTATGCACCACACCACTAAAAAAGTTGAACTGGACAATCAAATTGTTTTTACAATCAAAACAGAACTTACACAGGAATTTAAAAAACAAACCCTGAATGATCTGTGAGAAATTTAGGCCTTATTAATCTAGAAATCAGTTGTTCAGATATGTTAATTTTGGGAGGATGTGGAAAACAGTAAGGTCTTCCTCACTTATCTGTTCTGGCATCTAAGCATTTTGTTGCTTGGGAAACTGCTGCTGGATATGTATGTGTTAGCACACGTGTTCCATTACTCTATGGCATGGCTACCATGGGAGTCTATAAAAGGCCACTTACTAATTCTCTAGTTTTAACTGGCTTTATAATAGGCAGCTCATTAATCTGACTGCTTAGTTACTTATGAGCCATAAGCAGTAACAGAAACATCACAAGTAATTGTTTCAAAAAATGTAAAGAAAAGATAAAGGGGATGGCTTTTAGTGGTCATACTGCCATTAGTATTTCATGGCATTAGCTCATGTCTTCTAAGGTAATAAATAGAAAGTGTGTGCACCCTGGCTGGTGTGGCTCAGTTGGTTGTTTTTCACCCTATACACCGAAAGGTTGTCAGTTTGATTCCTGGTCGGGGGACATGCCCAGGGTGCATGGTAGGGGCCATGCAGGAGGCAGCCAATCAATGTTTCCTTCTCACATTGATGTTTCTCTCTCCCTAAAAAATAAAAATATTTAAAAGTGTGTGCTATATACATAAAAGGCACAGTGAACAAATTTTTAAAAATTTGAATAGTTTTTTTCATCATATTTGACTTCTAGAGTTTGAATAATAAAGGTATAATAAAATCATAGTAAGGCCAAATTTAAAGTTGATTTAAGGAAGTTCTGAAGTACATGACTATTCCCTTCCACAGTTCTTACCCCATTTAATGAAGCACTTGCTTTGGACATTTCAATTCGGTTGGTGAAATCAGACTGCAGGTTTTGATACTGATTTATCAAGTTTGTAATAAGGGTGCTGATCAAATTGGCACAGTTTGCTTCAGAAAATACTTGACCTTGAACCTGAAAAAAGGGATTAAAAAAAATCTCCAAAAGACCAACATAATGAAAACACAACCATTAACTAACTGGAAGTAATATTTTGAGTTTTCAAAGTACAACATACCTTTAGAAGAAAATGAGTCATAAATGTGTAGACAATGTTGTTGTTTAGGAAGGTTCTTTCATCCATTAAGATACATTTTATATATTCTGCAAAAACAGGATCTTCACACAGAAGCTTGATGCAATTTTTTGACAGAGCAGACTAAAGTGGGGAGAAGAAGACTGATGGGTGAGCGCTGAAATGACTGTAACCCTTAAACATACTGCTTATGATATATGGCGGAGTCTGTACATGTGACTGGAAAAGCCACTTGTAACTCAGTCTACTAAACTTTCAGTAACAGCAAATGTCCTCCCGATCAATCAAAATATTACTAACTTGGACTCCATGGGTGAGTGTTAGCGGGACAGACTTGTAAAAAGTCTGAATGGCAGAGCTGAACAAGTATTTTCTTTAAAATACTGCAGCAGCTTTATTATCTAGCATTACAAGAATTAAGGGACTGGACAATGTTTTTAGGGAACCAATTAATGGATAGTTAATAGGTAACCAAAGGACAGGCAGAGAAAATTTTAAGAATTAAATGTATTCTCTAAACTGAGTTAAAACTTTTACTGTATGATCTCATTAGCAGTAGTAATTTGTTTGTTAAAACCCTTTCCCCCCATAAATAGTGCAAAGGTAAACAGCAAACCTCTTTTCCTAATTACCTCACACAGAAAATTAGTGGGTCCCAATATATGGAAATTTCACTAAAATTTGGTTTTCCTGTTTTCAAATGGTCATGGCTCTTAAACACAAGTAGTATGTCTTTAAGTAGATATAGTCCCTAATTACTTATATGTGTTTTAATAATAGGTGATTTACATGGGAGACAAGACTTTAAAAAATAGGACAAAAGTTTAGATAATATCTGTATTATATATTTATATGTTTTATTACAGTAAGCAACTATAGTAAATAATTAACACTCAAGGTCACCCAAGAAATTAGAGGAGTTGAGTAGGACCAGGACCCAGGACTTCAGATTTTTGGTGTCAAGAAAAACCCCCCTTATTCTACCAGTCACAGCCTCTGCCTACTGCCTATGTTTCTTGCACAGGATTACTTGCAGGGGCTTTGAAAGCCTTAGTTGGGTTGGTTTGGCTGTTTTAAGGGAAGTTTGGAGGGATGGTGAATTCTGTGGGGAAAAAAGCCAAATAAAGGGAGTAGTAGAGTGTAGAGCAATGGGGAAGCAGTAGGTGGTGGCAGAGTACAGTACCACCCCGCCAAATCAAGAAGATCAGCAACAGAGAAGGAAAAAGCAGAGATATAATCTGCTTTAATTTACTAAAGAGACCACTCAGCTCAAAAATCAACCAGCAAGTCATTTTTCTGAATGTCTACTAAGTACTAAACCATGTAATCAATGTGTCTAGCCTTCAAAGATTCCTACTATAGAAACCAAAATGACATTTCTTCAGGGGACAGAAATGACTCAAAGTCTCTGCACTTGAGGAGCTTGCAGTTAGGGACAATGAGATAGAGAAACAACTATCACAGTACCAAGTGACACACATCCATTAGGAGAATATACAGAGCACTATTGCCTGGGCAGGAGGTTGGACCAAAGTAATTCACTATAACATGGGTAAAGGTTTATGCCAAAGGAAGGTTAACAAACTCATCTCTTTCTCTGGAAATGAGCAGATGCAACTAGGCAGGAAAATAATAGTTTTTTTCAGAGTCTAAAAGAGTGGGGATCCTTTATGCCTGACCTAAGGAATGAGCCCAACCTCAGGACCAATCTGATTTCTCCCCCTCTCCTTGACATTCTCCCTCCACAATTTAACAAGTCGATGTTT